AAACTCCTCAGCTAGGCATGTCCTGGGCCTCATTAAACTACAAACACCAGAATTCTGCAGGAGGCAGATACCAGATATAAATTGGATCCATGCTCTGGTGTGATGAGGCTATATTGCAGACTTCACTGCCACTGTTTCAATTGGAAGCTGAGGAAATGAATGGCAGATTTGTCCAAAGATATCATAGTTAATGGAATTACCACTTACTTTGCAGAGCCACGTTACTGTCACGAGACCACAACTTCCTGAATCTCACAGCCAGCCACATATGAGATTCTGTGAGTTGTTTTAAAATGGTACAAACTTTTCTAGACACAATTCAAAATGCTGATTATGATATATAAAAAGTCCTCTACATCTTTGCTATCGGAACCATGTTTCCCAAACAAGCTTGCCTGGGTTTTAAGAACTTAAGGGAAGCCTGTTCTCTCTGTTCTATATTACATTTGATAAGAGTAATCAAATGTAATATAGAAGAGTAATCAAACATGACCACCCCCACCCCTAATAAAAGTGAGACATTGTTCTACGAGTGCCTGGGAGGTGTCCGCCAGCCGATTGAGAACTTTTGTTCTAAGCTGTGGGGTGGCAGATGGAAGAAACAAAGAGCTTCCTGATTCCTTGATTGGGGATGTGTAGAGACATGAAAAGGGGCTGTTGATGACATTTGGATCTCGGACTCTGTAAACAAGGAGACCCTTGAACACAAAGGAGCTGCACAAATGCCATGGGTTGGGTTAATCAATCCTTCTTTCCAGGTTTCGGTTGACTTATCTCTGGCCCATTGTCTGAACTCTGAAAATGTGCCCGGAGATAGGATCACCCCCGGCCCATGCAAAATGTTAATATGAATGGATTTACTTTTGAGGAAATGAGGTTTCCTCCTGACAATAACCTCAGGTCACATTCTTTTCTGGGGCAAGGTTCAGAGGGAGGAAAGGTGGGAGGGGGAGAGAGTCAGGGTGCATCTTATGTGATAGATATCAATTATAAACATTTTCTCATGCTTCATACATTTCATACATTTCATTTCTGCCAGAATTATGATCTCCTTGGCGAAGGTGCACACGCAGGCGGAGGCTGTTCCTGCCCAGGGGCCTGGTTCGGAGTCCGTGGAGAAGGTCCAAGACGATGGGGCATCAAGTCAATAAGTAAAGGCAAAAGAATCTGTAAGGGGACTTCCAGGCGGAGGGGTGTGGGGCAATGTCCTTCGGAAAACTACATTTCCCTGATCAAGGGCCAGGGTCCAGTGCACAAGCCAGAGAATTCACAAAGAAGAAACAGGAACCCAGTTATGTGTGCTGGGTCAGGAAGCAACAGAATCCATTGTCCGGCCCTTGGCGAACTACAAATACTCGAGGGGGGGGGGGGGAAAAAGATGCTCCGCATCAATGCTACAAAAGGTTTGCTAGGCTAGACCCTCTTTCACTCAGACTCAGCCCCCCCCCAACTCAGCCCCCCCCGAAACCCCCCTGAAAAAAATTCAGCCCCCCCCCCCAAACCAAATCCTGGCTACGGCCTGCCCCAAGGAAGTCATAGTTCCCTAGGGACAGAGGGCCAAATGAATGGCAATGGCCACCATCCACACAGCATCCCTCAAGCCTTCCGGGACCCGCCACAACCCAAACTCCATAGTCCCCAACTCTGCCCACCCCAAAACTAGATTCATCCCGGCTCAGCTGTTTAGGCTGAACCAGTCTGCATCTGCAATAATCTGGAGCCCCAAAGAAGATCACCTCAAGGCTCAACTCACTCACATTCAAATCAAGTACAGGCTGCTACAATTATTTCTGATCCTGTTAGATTGCTCTGTTTTAATGATATTTCCTATGCTATTATACATTTTCATCCACCTTGTTGAACCAATTAACTCTTTAATCAGCCCATATTTTGGCCTCCCCCGCCCCCCTAGTTCTTTTGTTGCTTGATGCTTGTCTATTATTGTTATGTTTGTTTTATGCTTTTAAATTGCATTTTGTTATTGCTCTGCTTTTAATTGTATGTTTCCTGGGCTTGGCCCCATGTAAGCTGCCCCGAGTCCCTTTGGGGAGATGGAGGCGGGGTAGAAAAATAAAATTCTTCTTCTATCGGACACCTTAATTTCCAGAATCTCTATTATACAAAGTAACTTTCTGAATTTCTTTTCTTTTTCCCTTTTGCGAATGTGCGCATGAGCGCAGAGGAATTAAAACAGGTAAAGCAAATAACCTTTCAAGGCAAGGCCCTTCTCCCTTCACCCCTCTTTGCTCTTTCAACCTAAAAACCTATATTGAAACACCACATGAACTCTATCTTTTATATATTTATATTTTATCATCAACTTGTTTTACTGAACTATATGAAATAGAAGGCAAACCTATGTGAACTTGTGAACTTGAATAACACCTTGAGCAATCTCAAACCCTTTCAGATACTCTTTCCACACTGTGTGTGGGAACCAGAGATGAGACATAATCTGTTGGACAAAAAATCTTCCTGCATGCCAGTGGGAGGCCACCTATCTGCCACCCAGAACTTTCCTTTTGAGGATCTTGGCTATCCGCTGGACAAAGGTTTAGGAAGGAACTTTGATTGCACTCCCATCACCAATAGACATTTCTGGGACGTTTTGTCTTCCCAGCATGGGAAGATGCCAGAGAATTCAGTGCTCATTGCCTTTGCATCCAGGACCCAATATCTGCATAATCCTATCAATCATCTTTTCAGACTCTCATTGCCTTCAGCATTCCATTGCTACACATCCAGGGCTTGGTGACTTATTTGCTACAGAGACCACCTCCTTTGCCCCACTGGAAGACCCAGTGCTTCTCTGCCCAGCTAGGAAGGGATCCCTGGTCATGGCACACACACCAGTTAAGGCCCACCTCTCGGCCTATCAGAGGCCTGGGAAATGCTGACCAATTTCTTGTCACTGGCCAATCAAGGAGAGGGGAGGGAATTTTGAAACATAGCAGTGTTAATGCATGAGAACTCCTATGTATAAAGATGACTGCTTTTTGCTCATGCTTTGCTCTTGTACCCTTTTGAGCACCCGTTGCTGTACAAGTGTCCCTTCTGCACAGACTGAGTAAACACTTCCGTCATTTGCCTTCAAACTGGTGAGATTCCCGATTCCTAACTTGAAACATTCATGGTTAGTGAAGCTTGGCAGGCTTCTCTCGTTATCTGTGGGTCCTTTAAAAATCTCAAATTTCCAGCATCAGCAGCTTCCCCATATAGTCAGCCCCCCACATTTGTAGATTTGAATTTTATGATTTTAATGATTTGCAGTTGATTAAAATAGGTCCTCCAGAATGATTGTATGGTTGATTTTTGCTGGAGGACCTAGACATTCTGGACAAAACATTTCTCTAGGAATCTCTAGATCCTCCTCTGCAAGTAGTGCTGGAGGACCTAGAGATCCCCAGAGATGTCCTCTTATATAAAATAAATTGGCATTTGGTTATTTTGCCATTTTTCACTTCAATGGAGGTCCTGTTATCCTAATATGTGAATGTATAGGGCTGACTGTAGAAATGTTTGCTTCCAGTTGCCTGTTGCTAATATATACCACCCCCAAAGTGGACTTTTTGAAACTGACTGATATGAAAGGGAGTTGGAGCTCAGTATTGCATTTTCTTCCCCCTTTTCTTTGATGGACCTTGAATTGCTTTAAAATTATTCTAATTTGACTGTGTCTTAAATATGATAATACATTTCATTGTGCTTTGTACTGTAGAATTTTTAGTTGTATCTGAGTTTTCTTTTTGAAGAAAAAAACCTCGCGTTTTGGTTGGATCCCATGTATTGTAAAAAGGATGGGGTACAACTAGAACAAAGAGAACTTTATAAACTACTCTGAATCTCCTGGCGGAAAGGCAGTAATGACCTAAAATGTGATTTAAGCATTTTAAACCATAAAATGTTTGCAGTTATAAAAAATGATAAAGACATTTCAACAGGTTTCTGGGATGCAGAACGTAAGGCCAATCCTGTGAAATGTTGAAAGGTGTGAAAGAGTAGAGGTCCTTCAAAGTGCCCAGAAAAAAGGGTGACTCAACCGCTGGGAATTGCTTTCCTTTAATTTCATATGGCCACACACCCTTTAAATATAAATACTGTGCCAGATTTAAACCTGGTGAGACTCTAAACTATGTCAAGTATATGAAGTAGGTAAAAAAATGTGCATTATTGCCCCAGAACTCTAGTAATGTTTTCTATTTAAAGACTCCTCAGTTTAAAGCTTAAACTGTATTGTACTTACTTTGTGCAAGAACCCATCACTGTAGAAAAGTCAGTAAAAGTTATTGCCATATACCAATTCCCTCAAAGAGTTGGTTATCCCTTATTACTTAAGTTGCTACACCTGTTACTGCATAGTGGCCATGCTATTGTTACTGGGAAAAAGAAAACTAGTACAATAATGTTACAGTAGGCTCTCCACTTTAGTGGGAATTCAGGAGCATAGAAATAAAGAAATGGGAAATGGAAAGAAGTCTGAAAAACCACTGCTATAAGAGTCTGTAAGTCTTTCAGTAGAGCCAATAGTAGGTGTTAACAGATACTTTGTATTGAAAGCACATTTGACTGCCCATAATAGCCAGCTTCGGTACATCAAATGGGTAATGAGGACACCTTTTTGTCATTTGCTTCAGAGGGTAAAATGTCTTGGGCTGGCCCTGGTACATGAAAGCAGCTCCTAATTTTGGTGAGGGATCTTCTTGAGTTCTGGTGAAACAGATGGCTTCTTGTCCTCACTATGTGCCAACAAGGCTCTTACTCTGTAGACATTATCCCAGACATTACGCCTGACTGAGATCTGGAGTGTAACCCCATTTGCCTTTGCCGTGCCATGTTTGCTTTACCCACTCAGCAAAGCCTGTGACCTGCTGCGATGCATGATTGAGGTCATCTCCATGTGATGTCAGGGCAACCACAGAATGTGGAACAAAGGGGAACTTTATGCTTTCACACAGGCACCTAGATAGCAACCACAGTATACAACAGATACACAGGCAGACTGTAGCAGAAAGACTGCGTTTTATTAGAATCGCGGCAACATGTCATATAAATATAAATATAAATATATATATATGTACACCCTATACATAGACTTGGGGGCATGTCAGAACTGAGTGGGAGAGAAGTTTATTGCTTTGAGCTTTTGAGCCACAGACTATTATATTAAAAATAAAATAAAAAAGCTGGAGAAGGAAAGGTGGTCTAGAAACAGAGGAGAACTCACAGCCACAAATGCGGCACAGGATGAAAAGATTTTCCCTACGCAAGTGAGCAGAGGCATGGCAGCCTCTCCAAAAAGGCACAGTCTCTAGGGAGCCGGCTCTCTTTCTCTCTCTCATTCTCTCAACTCTTCCTCTTCTCTCTGGTTAAAGCAGAACATAGGCCTTGCACTCTTCTCTCAGGGATGCCAAGGGGCAGGATAAAGCAGAAAATTTTGCAACCAAAAGAATTAGTAGAAAGCAAGCAGGAGGCTCAGTAAACAGGAGGAAGCCAAAAGGTAGGGTGGGGAACAAAATGGGGGCAAGATAATAAACCAAACACAGTGGGAGCCCAGTGTGAGGTGTAATGCTGCGGCAGAGAGATGCATGCATGCAGCAGTCATCAGACAGCAAGCAAAAGAGGTGGCAGGACAGCACTGAGAAAGGACTATTAAAAACTAGCTAACAAACCAAAAGAAGATTGGGAGAAAAACCAAGTCTACTTAAGGAATCATTTCCTGCACAAGGAGAAATCCCTCCCCTTCTGTCTTTGTTGCTGTTACTAAACCATTTCAGTGTCTACATTTTGTTATCATTAATTGCCGCCTTGAGAAATCATCCCATGGATCTTTCGTCCTATTCAGCTGTTCACAATCTGGATACGGTAATCTCATTGAGGTGGGTTTTTTTTTTGTCATGTCAGGAGTGACGTGAGAAACTGCAAGTCGCTTCTGGTATGAGAGAATTGGCCGTCTGCAAGGACGCTGCCCAGGGGACACCAAGATGATTTGATTTTTTTTATCATCCTTGTGGGAGGCTTCTCTCATGTCCCCGCATGAGGAGCTGGAGCTGATAGAGGGAGCTTCATCCGCCTCTCCCCGGATTTGAACCTGCGACCTGTCGGTCTTCAGTCCTACCGGCATAGGGGATTTAACCCACTGCACCACCGGGGGCTCCACCGGGATGAGGGTGATGTTGACATACTAGGCCTATATGCTCCTTGCATCCTATGTGGGTGACGATGTGGAGAGATGAGTTCACTCGAGTCACTGAAGACATCCATGCAAACCAGGGGATGTTTACACATGACTTTCTAACCAAGAACAATGTATATACACAATGGGTTGTCTCTATCCTTTCATATTTAGGGGACGGCCTCAAGAACATCTGAATGAGCACACATACAATGTGGTACACGCAAACACCTCTTCCATGTCTTATCTTATGTGGAGAGACTCTATGGTAGTGGTTCTCAACCTGTGGGTCCCCAGGTGTTTTGGCATACAACTCTCAGAAATCCCATCCAGTTTACCAACTGTTAGGATTTCTGGGAGTTGAAGGTCAAAACATCTGGGGACCCACAGGTTGAGAACCGCTGCTCTATGGGTACAGGAGCTACTCTCTGAAAAGAAAAATCCTATAGCAAGAATGGGTCAGGAAATGGGTGCGTTTCCTCACATTTCATGTTTAGAGTATCCAGATCAAGAACAGCTGAATATTGCTTGCTTCTTGCAAATCTCAGCATTGATCTACCCAGGCAGCAAAATCATGTCATACGGGAATATACCACTTCAAACAGAACAGATAATGTAACAGGCAAGCTCAAATACTTCCTGCACAGAAAGTACATTAGAGGGAAGGCTAGCACAAAATGCTTTCCCCTGCCATGTCACTTCCTGTTTGTCTGTGCAGGGAGTTGTGGACAGAGGGAAGCAGTCCAACATGGATCTTTCTCCTCGGCCTGAAATGGTAATGGTCAGCTGCACAAAGGTGAGGTTAGGCTGTCCATGTAGGTTGGCTGCTGGACAACTACCCAACAGTGGGAGCCAGGCTGGGAAATGACAGGGTCATCAGGGGCGGGTTGCTCTCCCTTATCAAGTGTTGTTTGTCAGTGCCATGTGCAAACACACCCCAAGGCTTGTGTCAAGTGATCAAGCAAATATTAAGCTTCATTTCACCAGTCCAGTGAAATAATGGGAAAAATAACTCATACAGATTTAACCTGAAATGCACCAACAGCACACGTGACCTCGACAGCCATCAAGGTATATACAAAGTGATCTTGTAGCACCTCTGAGACTAACTAGGAGAAAGTAGCTTGTAGCATCAATTTTATAGACTTGGTCTACTTCATCAGATGCCAATCTAGTGCTACAGGACACACACACTCCCTTGTAACATTAATCTAAGCTGGTCTTTCTCCAGATATTGATGCACTTTGCTATCAACTGCTGGAAATTTGGTTGGTGCACAACATAAATGATATCTGTCATGCCCTGAATTAACAGATTTATATAGATTAGCTAGCAAACAAATACGCATGTGTTCGCACACTCATATACCATTTGTGTTGTTGTGGAGGCCCAGAGATGTTAAGTGAGTCAACTGAATCTCCCATGTGTTACAACTAAAACTGTTCTCTGCAAATCAAAACAGCAGAGTATCCTTGGGTGCTCTGCCTATCAAAAATAAAGCAACTCCCAACTCAGAATTATGAATTCTTAGAAATGCAGAACCGTTTCACAATAGTAACAGAATACAAAGTTCATCATGTCTAGTGTGTCTGACTACTCTCCACTCTTTTCCACTTCTCATCCTTTTCAAAGAATACTATGTTGCAGGAGTTTGAAACCTGCGATTCTCTTGATGTTATTACTTCACAGGTCCCATCCTTCTGCACCAAAAACCTTATGTGCTGGAATCGATTTGGGTTGAGAGTCCAACCAAACTGGTGTAATCTGGAGAATGAAGGAGCAGCACACAAAACCTCTTGAATATGGGCACTACGGGAGGGCTGGGAATCTCAGATCTTAAAAAAAAAAGCAGTATCTGTGGATATTTTACTCAAGCATAGTTCCCTGCTCAAAATTCCACACCTACAAACTGTAATTTCCTTCTTAAAACAATAATAAAGTGTATTTCAGAGGAAGGAACTAGGAAAACCACCTCCGAGTATTCCTTGCCTAAGAAAATCCTATGAAACCATGGAGTTGCCACAATCAACAGATGACTGGAAGGCATACACACAAGACATCCAGTCTTTAGCATGACCATAGGACTCCTTTCTTTACAGTTAACCCAATTTGGCTATTTCTTATTATTTCTTTATATTTTGTGACCCTTTTATTTCAGAAGCACGATTTTTTTCCATTTGTTATGCTAATTTATAGAACTTTCCAAATCTGTTCCCAGATAGAAGGGGAGAGAATAGGCATGGGCAAACTTTGGCACTCCAGGTGTTTTGGACTTCAACTCCCAGAATTCCTAACATCCTACCAGTTGTTAGGAACTGTGGGAGTTGAAGCCCAAAACACCTGGAGGGCCAAAGTTTGCTCATGCTTGGGAGAAAATATCACTTTGTTTAACACCATGTGGGTTCTAAACATTTCTACAGTATGAATGGCTTTTTGTTCCTTGCTACAAAAAGAATAACTGTTTTCCACAGCAGTACTCTAGATCTCTTGATTTTTCCCTATTTTCAAATATCATCACTGAACATTTGGGGATGTGAATTATGATGAAATAACTTTGGCTTTTTGCTATTTATATAAAAATAGCAGCTACATTTATGAAAGATACTGATCCTATTCAAAGGGGGTGAGTGCAAAGAAGCCTGCCAGCAAATGAGTACAATTTTGTTCCCTGATGGTAGTTGAGACAGGCAAAAAGAGATTTTATTGGAATCTTTTCTCTGCCTTATTTTAATTTATGTGTCTGATAGCCTGGTTGTTTCAGTTGTTATTAAAAAGAACAACAACACAGTGCTACATAATTTATAAATGTGTGCCATAAAATCTTTGGGGTTTGGCTGGCATAAGGGCCTATAGCTAAAACGATAAATACCCAAATCCATTCATTTGAATCCATCTGTTTGCTTTCTGAGCACATGCTCAGAGTTAAAAGGGAGGAAGAGAAAACTCACTAGAAGCAGCTGTAGTTCGGTTGTGATACCTCACAACTTTTGAGGATGTCTGCCATAGATGTGGATGAAACATCAGGAGAGAATGCTTCTGGAAAGATACAAAAACTCACAGCAACCCAATGATCCTGGCCATGAAAGACTTTGACAACATATTGAGGTTATTTGTATAGGAGTGATTGTTTACCCCCTTTCCTTACCCCACTGATTCTAGCTGCCTTGCCTCAACAACTGATATTATTACAGAGCTTAGAAAACTTAGGCTTTTGGACTATATCTCCCAAGATCAGCCAGCCAGCATGATGGGAACATATAAAAAGACAACTTTCCACAAGGTCTCTGTTGCAGCTTTGCCATCTCACATTGCTAAGGTGTATGTGATCTTAGTCTCCATATTGGCATCCAGATGTGGCAAACCCAAGGACACTTTTGTGTACATGGTGCATATCTGTATGCCAAGGGTTGTGTATCTGACCTGGCCCTGTTGATCACACTTTGTATCTTTTTAGTTAATCATTCATAGTAGCTCACCCTCCCTTTTGTTTCCAATATTGATAACATGAGATATTAGGATGGCAATACTCAAAAAGCCATTTGTGCTAAGTCTTTCCAGCAAAACAACAAAGAGTATAGGGACACTACTGATACTAACAGACTTATTTAAGCTTGATCTTTTGTGGATTAGTCACCTTTTTCTAATGTACAGACTATCACTGCAACCGTCAACATTAGTACTGTGTATATATAACCAAAAGCAAGTAGTTTGAGTGTTGGACTAAAATTGCAGGAGACCAAATCCTGCAGGAGGCCAAATCCACCCTTAGCCATAGAAATCAATCAAGTTTCCTCAGTATCACAGGACAGTAATGGCAAATCACCCTTGAACAAATCTTGCTGAGAAAACCCCATGATAGATTCTCCATAAAAAGGTAAAGGTAGTCCCCTGACATTAAGTCCAGTCATGTCTGACTCTGGGGTGTGGTGCTCATCTCCATTTCTAAGCCGAAGAGCCAGCGTTGTCTGTAGATACCTCCAAGGTCATGTGGCCGGCATGACTGCATGGAGCGCTGTTACCTTCCCGCCGGAGCGGTACCTATTGATCTACTCACATTTGCATGTTTTCGAACTGCTAGGTTGGCAGAAGCTAGGGCTGATAGCGGAAGCTCACGCCGCTCCCCGGAATCGAACCTGTGACCTTTCGATCAACAAGCTCAGCAGCTCAGTGCTTTAACCCACTGTGCCACCGGGGGCTCCATAGGCTCCCCATAAGTCAAAAACAACTTGAAGACACACAACAACACCTGAAACTTTAACAGCATGTGCATCTGAGGAAGTAAACTGGAATCCCCAAAGGCTCATGTTTAAATAAATCTGTCAGTCTTCCAAGTGACACAAGAAACAAGGACAATCATACTTCTACAAATGGGTTTGTCACAGATGTGCTGTCCGGAAAGGTGAGGGCACATTTTTCAAAACAAGCTATAATCCTGTGATACACTAATCCAAAACCAAAACACACCTAAACAAACAAAGAATCACAGGATATTTCACTGAAATACCTCTGCTGAGGCCCTGCCATTTCTCCTTTCACCTGCAAGAAAAACCTGTAAAAATAACCACTGTTTTCATGCCTGCTAGGTCCATATGATTGCTTACTTTTGGATAAGCAAGAAGAGGGTTACACGCAGTCAAAATCAGCCAAGGACTACTAACACACTTTCTCCTCATCTGACTTCATAAAGTAGTGAGTCATGTTCAAATAGGTCCTCACCCCACAAGAGCTTAAAATAAGTCATTGCTTAATTCCGATCTCTCACTTTCCAATACTTGGTTTGTTTTTAAGTTGGAGTGAGGAACTTATGGCTCTTCCCAATTGTTGATGGTCTCAAGCCCCTATAGGCAGAAGCCAATAGAGTCAAAAATTAAGAATAATGGGAGTTGTGGTCCAAAAACACCCGGAGGGCCACAGCTGTCCAACTCTGCTTAATGTGTGTGTATATATGGAGATGTATTTATATCCAGGATATGTGTGAATATGTGTGAGATTGAGTGAGAGTGTACACAGTAGCTCTCCATTTTTACAGGGTGAAGGCACAGAACCTTTCACAACAATGGAAAAACCGATTTAAAAACCTTTTTACCCGAGAGAACACCTCTCTAGGAAACTCTGGGACTATTAAGAGTAAATCCATGGTCATCTTCCCCTGGACGGTGACCACAAAATCACCCAGGAAAGCGTAGAGATTCCTAGAGAGAGGTTCATTTGAGGAATCTCTAGGTCCTCTAGCTTGACTCTAGCAACTTTCAACAGCTGAGCTTAGAATTGACCTGAAGGATATAGTAACCAAATCCATGATCACATCTGCAAAAATTAAACACACAAATGTGGAGGACTGACAAGTATGCAAAATGTCCCTTTTCAAGTTAGCTCTGAGTGCCCTGCCCTGCTTTGGAAAGGGATCTGGGAAGTCAGTGACCCTCTTGTTGCCACCTGCTCCTTAAGCCACTTTGGAAGGGCAGTGACTCCATCTTAGCAAACTCTCTATAGGAAAAGGAAAAGAAGGTACCCAGCCTGGATCCCACCGAAGGAGGAGAGGGGGCACTGAGGGGGTATGGTCGAAGGAGGTGGGGAGGGGGGTTGGGATCAAAGGGAGAGGGTCACTCAAAAGTGAAGGGATCATGGGTGCTGAAAAAGAAGTGCGCATCCACATGTGTATCCATCGTTTCCTTATCGCTCTCTGGGGGGAAGCGCTCATGGCAGATGGGGCATTCCTTCCAAAAAGCTGGTGAAGGCAGGTCCAAGGGAGATACACCCATCCCACAGGTCCCTGGTTCTGACATCTGTCGTCCGGTCAGCCCACTGTCAAGAGAGAAAGTGGGAGGGAAGCAGAAGAGAAAGAGTAAGACAGGCTGCTCAGATCCCAAGTCTTGAGATTGGAAGTGGATGTAATCTTTTGGCCAAGGGTTCATGAAGCAAAGGGGGGAGAAGCCTAGAGACTTGTGTTTTGACTCGAAAGGAAACAAGGGACAATATTCCTGGGGATGGCTCAAAAGCAGGGAAACTTTTACTACATCAGACATGGATGTCAAACTCATTTTCATCAAGGGTCACAACAGCCTTATGGTTACCTTCAAAAGGCTATTGAACTCTGGATGGAGAATCAATGGATAAATTTATTTATTTATTTATTTATTTACAGTATTTGTATACCGCTTTTTTCACCCTGAGGGGGACTCAAAGCGGTTTACACATAAGTAATAGCAAAAATTCAATGCCAGTACAAACAATTACAATTACACACTACAATTAGACATAAATCAAATTAAAAAATACATCCATGAGTAATAAAACAATAATTAAAACAATAAAACAGTCCTGTCCATCAAATCGCCATTCCAGTCATTGTCTTTCTGAAATGCTGCATACATTTACTTCTGCTGCCCAAAGGCTTGGTCCCAAAACCATGATTTTAGTTTTTTTTCTAAAAGCCAGGAGGGAGGGAGCGAATCTTACCTCATTTGGGAGTGTGTTCCATAGGCGGGGGGCCACAACCGAGAAGGCCCTGTCTCTCGTCCCCGCCAGACGCATTTCTGCTGTTGACGGGAGCCAGAACAGGGCTTCCCCGGATGATCTTAGATTACGAGGTGGGACGTAGGGATGGATGCATTCAGACAAGTAAGCTGGGCCAGAACCGTATAGAGCAGTGGTTCTCAACCTGTGGTCCCCATCCCCATCTCACCTGGCTACCTCATAGAAGCCACTGCCCAGTTCTGGAAGGAGCAGATTGGTTTCTTCGCCACCACTCTGAGCAGCAGCCATCAGCACGGCCTTCTCATCCTCTGCCTCCTAAATACAAAAAAAGGAAAAAAAAATATTCCATACAGGCTTGACTTTTGCCATTCTACCTGTGACTCACATCCACAAACCAGGCTTATCCTCTCTACCTTTATATGTTTTTAAGTATACGGTATGGCCAACATATTTGTGGGATTGGTGCCCATAGTTTCACATTTACCCCCATCTAAAATATATATACTTTCTTGGCCTTTTCTAGGTTCTCCGATCTGATATTATGGTTTGCTTCTGGTGGACATTGTCCATTGAGTCATGCCGGGGAACCTAGAAAAGCTAGGGAGCTTAATTATTTTTTATATTTTATATAATAATACTAATACTACTTCTAATAATAACAACAACTTTATTTTTGTACCCCACCTCCATCTCCCCGAAGGGACTCAGGGGGGCTTACATGGGGCCAAGCCCGATCAACAAATTTAATACATTCAAAATACATAACAGTCTAAAACTAAATAAAACAACAACATTATAATAATATATAAAAACAAGTATCAAAACTAACAACCAGTAATAAAATTCTATTTCTCATCACAGATGGGTGGAGTAATGCAACAAGAATTTAGGGGATAGAACTGGTGGATAAAGTGCATCGATCATATGGCAGAGGTAAAGATAAGAGCAATGTAAAACAGGTCATTATAGCTTTGGTACAAACCAATAGTAAAGTGCAATGACAAGATTTTGAGTCATAGCTGGGGCCAAATATCTGGGGAATTGTCTAATCAAAGGCACAGTGGAACATCCACCTCTTTAGTACTTTGCAAAAAGTGGACAGGGAGAGTGCTATCCTGATCTCCCTGGGGAGGGAGTTCCAGATTCGGGGGGCCACAACTGAGGAAGCCCTTTCTCTCGTCCCCACCAACCATGCCTGAGACGGAAGTGAAAGTGAGAGAAGAACCTTGCCTTGTTCTAAATTGATCAACCTATGTGATTGTTAGCTGCCTTGAGTCTCCTCAGGGAGAAAGGTGGTTCCCTCCCTGGAACCAAGTGGTGCAGCCTTAAGATGCACAAAAACTTTGATTTGGTGAAAGGTTACTCCCTGCGTTTTCAAAGGGTAGTAGGAGCACAGGCTCCAATGTAAAAGAAAGGTGGAATGGTCTAGGACAGTGGGTTGCTGTGAATTTTCCAGGCTGTATGGCCATGTTCCAGAAACATTCTCTCCTGATGTTTTGCCCACATCTATAGCAGGCATCCCCAGAGGTTGTGAGGTCTGTTGGAAACTTGGCAAGTGAAGTTTATCTATCTGTGGAAAGCCCAGGGTGGGAGAAAGAACTCTTTGTCTGTTGGAGGCAAGTGTGGATGTTGCAACAGGCCACCTTGATTAGCATTTAATGGCGTTGCAGCTTCAAAGCCTGGCCGCTTCCTGCCTGGGGGAATGCTTGCACAACTTGTGATCCTCCAGGTGTTTTGAACTTCAGTTCCCACAATTCCTAGCCTTTGAACAAGCTGGCTAGGGCTTCTGGGGGTTAGGGACCCAAACGCCAGAAGGGTCACAGGTTGTGCAGGCCTGGTCTAGGATGAGCAAAAGCCAATTGTTCCTCAAGCAACTTGTAATCTGCCGTAGGGATAGGGAACCCCTACTCCTCCAAGTGTTACTGGTATTCAGCTCCTTCCATTCCTGCCCATATGGGATGGGGTTGATATGAGTTGTAGTCTAACACCTCTCAGGAGGCTACAAATCCCCCCTCCCTGAATTAAGAGATGCAGCAACATGTGGTTGTGTGGACTTTTGAATATTTTTTAAAGCCACATGATGATAGTTAGAAGATATATCTACAAATGGAGCTTCTGAATTATTCAGCATTCCCTGCTTGAGAGAGATATTTGGGCTTTTTGTTAACCACAGTTGGACAAAAAGGGCCAGCACAGACAGCCTTGGCAAGCAACACAATTCTGTGGTTCACAGTCTTGAGCCAGACCTACTATTCTACCCCTCAGATGGAGCAGCACACCTCCTGCTTCCTGGGATCTTACCGAATCAGAGCTGGAGTCCTCAGGAGGCTGTTTGATCTGGCTGGCAATGGGTGCGGGCTGACTGATCACCACAGTGCGAGCAGGTCCACGGGCACAAGGTGGTGTGGTGGTAGCAGCCCGGTTGTCACACAGACTGTAGGAACCGATCTGAGCAGGGAGGCGCATGTCCTCAGGGCATTCATCCTCGGAGTCTGACAGTGGGGAATCCAGAGCATCTCGAATAAACATTTCTGAGGCTTTGTGAGGAGAACATATGTTCAGGAAACCAAGCAGTTCCACAGAGGTGTGTGTGGGAGGAAGGAAGGGAGAAAGGAGGGAAGGAGAAGGTGTGAATCTTCCCAGACAATGAGGCTAAAAATGTTAAGTTTTATCCTCAGGTGCAAATTCAGGCATCTTGAAAAAAACACCTCAGGAAATAAATTCTGATCCCATCCTTTCACTCATAGGTAGTACAATCCCAGGTATCCAGCTGCTTCCCAGGTTCCATAATATAAATCAGGGCTGAGCCATGAGCGGACGTCCCTTCAGACACTGTTCAATAAGTCCTAATCATGAGGCTTCAAACTACAGGAAAGGAGATTCCATCTCAACATGAGGAAGAACTTCCTAACTGTGAGAGCTGTTCAACACTGGAACTCTCTGTCTTGGAGTTCCAGAAGGCTCCTTCTTTGGAAGCTTTTAAACAGAGGCCGAATGGACATCTGTTGGTAGTGCTTTGAATGTGATTTTCCTACTTCTTGGCAGGGGGTTGGACTGGATGGCCCACGAGCTCTCTTCCAACTCTAGGATTCTATGAGAGGTATAAATATGTGGAAAGCTACATATCCATGGATTCTAAAGCCCTTGATTCAACAATCAGTGGCTTGAAAGCATTAAAAAAATCCAAAAAGCCAACCTTGATTTTGTCATTTTATCTGAGGGACACCGTTTAAATCATTTTATGTACATGTCATTATGTTTGGTTTCTATGTTTTATGTATATTGTTCATATGCTTTGATGTTTTTACTTTATTGTTATGTTGTTTATTTTATTGCAATTTGTATTTTTGTATTGTAATTTGTTGTTCGGGCTTGGCGCCATGTAAGCCGCTCCGATTCCCCATTGGGGGAAATGGTGGCAGGGTATAAATAAAGACTATTATTATTATTATTATTATTATTATTATTATTATTATTATTATTTTAGTATGCCACTGTATACAAGGGATTTCAGCATCCACAGAGTTTGGTACCCACAGGACATCCTTAATATCTGAACTAGATGAGGGTATCTAGGATTTTTTAGGGTTATATAGCCCTGGAGAAAGAAAAAGGGAAAGCTGGAGACCATTCTTCTTTGACTTCTCCTTAAACATGCCTTGTTCCCTGATATGGTGAGAATTGGTCTGACATCTGCCTGTTTTGGTTCCCTTTCCCCCTTCTTTCTATTTCTCTATCGAGTTGGACAGGTAAATGTATGGCAGGAGTACTGTAATCTCCCTTTCATTCTCACTCATCAGAAAAACTGGAGGTGAGAAGAAGGGAAATCCATGGGAATGAAGCAAAGGCTTGTTTGCCCTCGGTCTCCGGAGGACAAAATGTTCAGCCTCACATAATAAAAACATTGCAAAGTTCAACTTTGGCAACATGATCAGGGATCCCAAAGAGTTGGAAATGTTTATACATTACACTAGTTGTTTAAAAAGGGGGTGGAAAAGGTCAGGTGCTCCAAATGCTGTTGGATTGTAATTTCCATCATGTCTGTGTTGGCTAGGGCCAATGGGAGATGAAGTTCAACAACATTTGGAAGACCACAGTCTCCCCCACACCAGCTTATTACAGAAGTTTGTGCATAACTTACTCCCCCATCCCACACTTAATGCAGATGCTTATTTTGAAAGACAAATTGGAGATGGGAGTCAAGAGCATAGCTGCCTCAAAACTCTGGGGAAGTTTCTCCCTTCCCTCCTAAGTTGTATTCAGTTTAAAAAACACTGAATGTTTAAGCTTCCTAGGCTGATTTCAGAGATCTGCCAAGGGTTAGCGCTCCAAATTAAACAGCCCATGTATTTTGTTCTTGTCACTGTGACCAAGGGAAGGGAGGCAATGGGGACTGAAGTATACTTGGATGTGATGCCAAAGTGGGTGGGACTCACCAGGAGCCTCCAGTGCTGCCTCTTCTTTATCCACCAGAACAGATTCACTCCATTTATCATCAGCGACCTTCTCCAGCCGCTCTTCAAGGCGTCGTATGTATACCAGCAGCTCCTGAGGATACAGGATAGGTCAAATGGTCAGAAGCAATGGCCCTGTGGCCATTCTGGTTTTTAGTCCAAACTTTAAAGGAGCTACCCAATATTCAGAAATTCAGCATCCTGGATGATTCCTTAGAAGTTCAGTCCAAAGTTGGAGTGGATTCAGTGTCACACTGATGTTGGAGCCAGTAGTCAAAATGGGGTAGTCTGTGCCAGACTTTGCAAAGTTTGTGTTACCTTTGACAGCTCCACCTATGTTTCATCAAATACCCCATCATCTGTCACCCATACATGTCTCCACCTTTCCGTCTTTGGGTTCCGCTCATAAAGTGAAGAATATGGAGATGCTCAGATGCTGATGTGTTACTATTCCCATCATCTCCTATCACCGGAGCCCTCGGTGGTGAAATGCGTTAAACCCTTATGCCGAAAGGTCTGCTGACCAATAGGTCAGCAGTTCAAATCCAGGGAGAGCGGGTTGAGCTTCCGTCTGTCAGCTCTAGCATCTCATGTGGGGGCATGAGAGAAGCCTCCCACATGGATGGTAAAACATCAAACATCAGGACGTCCCCTGGGCAGCATCCTTGCAGATGGCCAATTCTCCCACACCAGAAGCAATTTGCAGTTTCTCAAGTCGCTCCTGACATGAAAAAAAAAGTCGTATCACCGGCCAGTCTGGGTGATGCCTATTAATCCTTGAGTTGTTATTGTTCGTTTATTTAATTTTGAATGTATTTATGTGTCTATTATCATATATTTTGTTCCTTTTATATTGATGTGAGCCACTCCAAGTCCCTTTGGGGAGAGGGGTGGGATATAAATTAAATATTATTATTGTTATTTATTATTATTAATAATAATATTTAATTTATATCCCACCCCTATCCCCAAAGGGACTTGGAGTGGACTTCAATAAAATGTAGATGGCATCCCGTTTCCTGGTCCTGCTAGAAATACTGTTTTGTTCCCGTCTGAAATGGATACCATTTGGACATCTGTACCCTCTCTCCTTTCCACGAACAACCCACCCTCTCTCCCCTATGCCAACCTGTTTTTCAGCCTGCAGCTGCTCCTTCTCCTTTTGGGCAACCTGCAGTGCAGCCCTTAACTCACGCAACTCCCGACGGCTCTCAGAGACCTGCACCTGTTGAGGCAAAAGATGTACAGAGCAGAAAATTAAGATAATGTGTACAGAGATGGAGGAGAGAGGTTTAAAGATTCTGCAAGGAGTCCAATATTCAAGTCTCTTAAGAAGCAAGGTGAAATAATTCAGTTTTACCTACAGGGAAAATAAGCCACATCCCTAAGGGATTGGTGAACATCTGCCTTCTAGGTGATCTGGTCTACAAGGCCCATCAGCCACACTCTGCAAGTTCAAGGGCAGGGGGTGGTTGTAGTCCAAAAACCTTTCTAGCATTAGAAGGTTTTTTAAACTGATCCCTACCACCTTCTTCTACTGTCCTCAGGTTCTTTCTTCTGTAGGGACTGCTACTCAGTCACCCCAACTGGGTCAAAAGGAATAGGCAAAACTGGAGGTGGAGAGGGAGTCTTGCGCCAACGAGTTCCTTCTATATGTAATGAAGATAGCCCCACTTGACTAAAAGAGAGCCTGATAGGTTTGGATGGACCCCAATGACTGTAGACATGTATATATATTTTAAATGGGATAGGAAATTAATAGTAATAATAATAAACTTTATTTCTACCCCGCGACCATCTCCCCAATGGGGACTCGGAGCGGCTTACATGAGGCCAAGCCCAAACAACAATTTACAATAAAGTAAAACCGAAAGCAATAAACAACAACATAATTTCATAAAACATGTGAATACATAGCAATATAAAATTACAATAGGCACAATCACAATGGCAATTCTCAGAATAGGGGTGGGAGTTATGCTGATTATACTGAACTGCATATCCCAGCAATTCTAGCAAGTGTAGCTAATGGTGACAAAATGCTTAAGGATGTAACCCAACACTTCCCACACTTACCCCAATATATCCGCTATGAGGACTACCTGTATCTTGACTGTTACCTGATTGGGATTGGTGAAATGAAAGGGAATGGAGTGACTGGAATACTGAACTGGGAGCACCGCACTGCAATGTTTGTCTTTAGTTACTACTAGCCTTGGGACCCGGTGATGCCCAGGTTACTTGAGAAAGGGATTGTTTGTTTTGGAAAGTTTGGTAATGGGTAGAATAGGGTTAAGTGAGTGGCAGTGGGTGGGGTCATGCAAATTTGGAGAGAGAAAGGAACCCTGGAGTGTCCGTTCTGGATTAAAAAACAGAACATCTAGGATGAAATGGTCTCCGAATGAAAGCATTCCTTGGGTGTTTGGTGAGGACGTTGGCAGTGTTTGGGCTAAATGTTCACAGCGCTCACTCTAACCTGCAATGGCAGTTGAGGAAGTGCCTTTGGAAGCTTCTCAGCACTTGGAACTATAGCCTGTTTGTGGAGGTGGGAGGCTGTCTGTGTAAGTGGACACCTCTGCCACATACACACGTTTTCACTTTTATTATGTGTATAGATTGTGAATAAATACTGGCAGACTCTCCACCTTGTATGAATTCTTTCCAAAACCCAATGTGCATTGAAATGAAAGAATATAAGAATAAAGTATAACGCGAAAGATAAAAAACACCCCAACAGTACTTGGTGAGAGAGATAAACATGGAAGTCATTGTGGGTGCAATAAGAAACCAAGGGCCCAATGGAGTTATTTTACTTCTGGCCAAGACAGTGGGATATCCTTCCCATTCCCAGACTCATGCTTACCAGGCTGGAATCGCGCTCTTGTGCCAGCTCGACACGTAGCACTTGGCGCTGGGACTTCTCTTCTTGAAGGCTCTTTTCTAGGCGCAACACCTCAGCACTCAGCTTCAGGATCTTGTCCTTCTCTGCCTATTAACACCACAGGATTGAAGCTGTATTATCTAGGCAAGGTTGGGTGTTACTCCTCTCCCTCTACCCACACTCCATAGGGTAACACGGCAGAAAGTAAATACGGAAGGGGTTGGCAGCTAGTAATCTCCATGTCAGAAGGATTCAGTGTGGAATCAATTCCAAGTTTTAAGGTAAAGGTTTCAGCTGACATTAAGTCTAGTCATGTCCGACTCTGGGGAGTGGTGCTCATATCCATTTCTAATCCAAAGAGCTGGCGTTGTCTGTAGATGCCTCCAAGGTCATGTGGCCAGCATGACTGAATGGAAGGCCGTTACCTTCCTGCCTAAGCAATACCTACTGATCTACTCACATTTGCATGTTTTCGAACTGCTAGGTTGGCAGAAGCTGGAGCTAACAGCGGGAGCTCACCCTGCTTCCTGGATTCAAACCACCAGCCTTTTGTTCAGTAAGTTCAGTAGCTTAGTGGTTTAATCTTCTGACCACCAGAGGGCTCTTTATAGCTTTTAGTTGACCATTAAAAGAGCTCTTCAAGTATATTAAATATTTAATATGAATTAATTTTAATTTGATTTATTTTAACTTAATGTTTTGTATGTATTTTAAGGCACTGAAGCCGCCTTGAGTCCCCTTCGGGGTAGAGAAGGAGGGGTATAAATAGGATAAATAAATAAATAAAATTTTCCTGACAGCTCATTAGATAGTTTTTTAAAATTTGGGCTAAACCATGGAATGGACTCATTATTTCAGTGGTATGAAAGTCATTAGCAGCTACGGTGGCAGAAACTCTTGGAAGGTCAGTTAAAATTGAAAAATATGAAAACGTGTTTAAGCTGAAAGCATTCAGCTGAATTCAAATCTGAAGCCAGATTCATACAGGCAGACTTTGGACTGACAAAATTTCCCTTCCTTCCATTTGTAAATATTTATAAAACAGAACTTTAGTTGGTCTGTGTCGGGTGAGTGGATGAAGGACATGAGAAAATCTGTTCGCGTCTGTGTACTTGTCATGAGGGGCTCAAAAATATGACCTGGGAGAATATTTGGTGCTCGAAAACACAGAATGATGAGTTTCAAAAATTAAATCAATGAGGCTTTAAAAAAGAAAAAGAAAACAACCACCCTTAAACATTCAGTCTTGTCATCAAAATCCAAATATTCTCATACAGACAAGAAGAGCTGACATCCATCATATAAATGGGAAATGGACTCTTTCTGCATGCAAAATCGATTTAACACCTCACTCTTGCTTTAATTTCTCTCTGCAGAAAGAATCAATGATTGCTCCAATGTATGCATGGCATTTTGCTAGACCACCACTTTTCTGGCTGAGGACTGAGAACTGTAACATAACACAGAGGCTGTGTGTGTGAATGGGCAGGAGGCCTGTGTAACCGGGCACTGTGCATGTGTCACAAACCTCCATGTTCTGGAGCAGGGTGGCCTTCTCCTTCCACCACTGGCCTTTGCCCTCCTTCCACTTGAGAGTCATGTCAGCCAGTTTGATGTTGGTCTCAGCTGCCTCCAGGCGGCTCTTGTGCAGATCCGAGATGGTGCGATCCCGGATGGAGGCCACGCTGGCCAGCTCTTCCCCCAAGAGGGCCACCTTTTGCTGGCTGGCTGCCAGGACATCTTGTGTGGAGCGCAGCTGTTCGCACAAGGCCTCCATCTGAGCCTGAAGGGGAAGGAGGGAGAGAAGGAGGAACAGGAGAGGGGTGAATGGTCACAAGATATATCTATTTTCTATTCCTGCTTTCTGGTTTTTCATTTCTTCTCCCAACACTGGCCATAGTCCATGACCATTCCACATAATTAGGTTGTCCCTTAAGAATTTTTGTTTCTTTGTTTCTGGTAAAGATGAGCTAACAAAGACTTTAATAGGCATCTGATACTCAATTGGGCTCTAACTACTGTCCTAGCCACTGGTGATGCATGCCAGGAGCTGCTGCCCCAACAATATCTGGGGATCCAAAGTCTAGGAAGGCCAAGTGCACTTACAGTGCGTCGATTTGCGGTGGCCAATTTCTGCTGCAACTTGTTGATGTCCTCCTGGAGCACCAGAGTTTGCGAGATCTTCTCACCATGAAGGCTCTTGGCTTCCTGCAGATCAGAGGCCAGGCTGCGGCTCTCCTCCTCCGAGGCCTGCAGCTTCACCTGAGGAGGGGAACAGAGGCAGTCGAAATGCATGGGGGCACTCCCACCTCCCCTATTTATTGCCTATCCCCTCTAATTTACTTGGCTGTCTTGTCCCCATTGCACCTCCTTCTCCAACCACCCTTCCCCCGCTCACCTGGTATTGCTCTTTCTCGGCATATTCCTCTTTGAGTTGATTATGAATCTGTTCTTGCTCCCGTAGCAGAGACTTRACTGTATCCTTCACTCTGGAGGCAAAAGGAAAAATGAAATATATATGTATGAGAGAGAGAGAGAGARAGAGAGTGAGMGTGAAGTAATAATAATGATAATGATGATAATAATAATCTTTATTATAAGGAGGTCAGCTGTGACCAGCAGTGCTGCAGAATTCGAGGAGGCACGAGTGGAGGGTGAAAGAGAGAAATGTGCCAGGAGGAAGGCGCGTCAAGCCAACCCYSACYGRGACCGCCTTCCACCTGGAAACCAATGCCTTCACTGTGGGAGAAGATGCRGGTCAAGAATAGGGCTCCACAGCCACCTACAAACCCACAAAAATAGTCATCAAGGAAGACCATCTTACTCATCCAACGAGGGATCGCCTAAGTAAGTAAGTAAATAAGTAATCTTTATTTGTACCCCGCCACCATCTCCCCGATGGGGACWCGATGCGGCTTACATGAGGCCAAGCCCAAAACAACAATTACATAAAATAAAACCAAAAACGCAAATAATGAACAATAATAATGCAATTACATAAAACAAATGACAACATAGCAATATAAGATTACAATAAGCACAATCACAATAACATGGGCAAGCTACATGTAATGGAGAAAAGAAAAGCTGGTTAAAAACAGATTTAAAAACTCAGGCGAGATAAAACAAAGATTATTTGCGGAGGAGAGCTCATTATAGTGAGCTCTATATAATAATAATAATAATAATAATAATTATTATTATTATTATTATTATTATTTATACCCCGCCACCATCTCCCCCAACAGGGACTTAGAGCAGCTTATATGGGGCCAAGCCCGAACAACAAACTACAATACAAAAATACAAATTGCAATAAAATAAACAACATAATAATAAAGTAAAAACATCAACACATATTAACAATATACACAAAACATAGAAACCAAACATAATTACAGAGAGCAGGCCGCATGTACATAAAATGATTTAAAAACTCAGGGTGAGATAAAGGGGCAGAACTGTAAGGGAGAACTCAGAGAGAGAGAGAGAAACAAACCTTCGTATTGGGGGGGGGGGGATCCTGGGACAAGAACGTTGAGGGAGCAAGTAATACTGGGATACAGCAATGCATTTGCTTTTCAGTCTAGTGATCCCACAAAGAATTGGCCCAGAAGAATAGGCTTCATTTCAGCCACCCTGACTTCCCTAGTAGAAGAGAAGGCAAAACAACTGGACCCACTCCTATGATGATAACTGGGACTCCAGGGTGGAAAATTTTGGCCAGGACACAGTATAGCCATAAGGCTTCTTCTAATCACAACATTGGGGGGCTTTCTCAGTTGAACCTCTCACCTGTCCAGCTCTGTCTCTCTCTGTAGCATCTTTTCACCCATGGCCTGGATATCTCCCTCCAGTTCCCGGATTCGGGCCAAGTGTTCAGCATCCTGAAGGCTCAGTGTGTCTTTCTGTTTGGACACTTCTGCGGAGGAATCTGACAACTCCTGGGTCCCAGGTGGGGGGGGGGGGGGGGGGGGGGGAGAGAAGTGTTGACAATATCTTTATGGTCAAGAATTTGTTTTTAACCACAGTGCTTAGGTGGAATTCCTTTTTTTCTTATAGTTTGAATCCATTGGTTCATATTTTAGTTTTTGGAGGAGCAGAAACTAAGCTTGTCCCAACTAAAATCCCTTTAGGTGTTTAAAGGAGATATCTCCCTCCCATTCCATGTGTACTAATTGACTACTCCTGTAGTTGAATCTTTCTTTCAAGACTTTTAAGAGAACAGCATCCCCCGCTGCTCCGGAATGTAGTGTGCCATCTTAGGGAAGCTGCATAGCACAAAATATTTTCCTTCAATACCTTGGTAATACAGTAGAGTGTCACTTATCCAACCTTTGCTCTTCCAACATTTTGTATTAGCCAATGCAGTCTGCCCCCCACCCTGATCCACAGCTGTTTCAATAAATTGCAATGTTTTGGTGCTAAATTCATAAATACAGTAATTACTTCATAATGTTACTATGTATTGAACTGTTTTTTCTGTCAATTTGTTGTGAAACATGATGTTTTGGTGTTTAATTTGTAAAATCATAATGTAATTTAATTTTAATAGGCTTTTCCTTAATCCCTCCTTATTATCCAACATTTTTGCTTATACAACGTTCTGCCAGCCTGTTTATGTTGAAAAAGCGAGACTCTATTGTCCCAAAATATTGGTAATATGCACTCTTATTGGCCAAGGCACTTGTTTTGAAATGAGACTCCCTTCCCACGTACCACCAATTAGATAAGCAAACAGTTTGCTCCTCCTAAATATCCAAAGACGTGGAGTCTGGAGGGACTGAGAGTTCCCAGATCTCCAACCCACCCACCCTCCTTCCTGTCTTTCTTGCCTTGTACTGTGCAGCCAGCTTTGTGTGGTCATCGCGTAGGGAACCAAGAGCTTCCTCCAGCTCAGCCATGTGGCTTCGCAGTTCTTGAACCTCATCTTTCAGACGGCATGATTCCTGCAGGAGGGCTCCTTGCTGCTGACGGCTCTCCTCCAACTGAGTCTATAGTGGTGGGGAGACAGAGAAGATGAAAACAAAACAAAACAAAACAAACAAATAAACAGTAGCTTTGAGCCAGGGCACCAATGATAACATATGCAGCATGTCAGAAAGACAATAACTGGAATGGCGATTTGACGGACGAGACTGTTTTATTGTTTTAATGATTGTTTTATTTCTCATGGATGTATTTTTAAATTTAATTTATGTCTAATTGTAATGTATAATTGTAATTGTTTCTACTGGCATTGAATTTTTGCCATTACTTATGTGTAAACTGCTTTGAGTTCCCCTCAGGGTGAGAAAAGCGGTCTACAAACACTGTAAATAAATAAATAAATAAATAAATTCACAAGACAAGCACAGGAGTTCTTCGCTATTAACTTTTGTTCTTCTAGATTGGATTTTAAAATAATGAATTTCAGGTTTACTACCACAGTATTTTTTATTTATACAAATATATACTGCTGAACATAAATTGTTGTTGTTATATGCCCCAATATTGGGATTATTCTGCATTGTGTACCTTCAAGTTAGGGGAAGCAATCTTCTCAAGCCGCCTCTACATGAAGTTTGTCTGTTTTGTAATGTGTCATTTTATAACCTGAAGTAAATGACTTATTTGATTTGCAGTTGCCTTATCTCTATATACCTAAAGCTGTGGGAGGGGCTGCAGGTCACGTGACTGACTCAGTGACAGTTTAGAATGTTCAGGTTTAAACAGGATGACAGTTAGGGAATATCTGTTGAAGAAAGACTGTTAGAGAAGTGTGTTGGTTTTTCAATGAGCTTCAGTATAGTAGTCTGTCAGAGTGCAGAAACTCGTGTTAGGAAGTTAGAAATAATTGAGCTTGTGTTTTATTTGAAAGTAAACTCTTATTAAAGAGAGCTGTATAAAGCAACATAGTTTATGAAGAAACTGTTAAGGATTACAAGTTCACAAACTCTCTGAAACATTACTGAAGTTTTTAACCTTTGGCAAGAAATGTGCCTGTATCTTTAGGTACATGAAGTTATGTATTTATTAGCTGTACCTATTTTTGGGCGTCTCAATTTCTGGCCTCTCCCAATGGTTGTCATGTTGAAAACCTGCACTTCATTTTTAATCATTTTCATGGATCAATGTAGATGTGAACCCAGATTCCTCTATGCTAGGCCCAGCACAAACAAAGAAGTGAGGCACAGGGCATGAGAGTTAAACCTTAAGGATGGGAATGAAAAACAATAAGAGAAACCAGGTACTGTAGGATGCTTCATAGTTGCAAGGGGGTAGATATTATTTTAAGCTAATGGTAGGTAGCCTTTGACCTTTGTAAGGTTCTTGGGATTCCTGTCCCATTGGCACCATGCATAATAATAATAATAATAATAATAATAATAATAATAATAATAATAATAATAATAATAATTCTGGCAGCCCAACAAGCCATTCGAACTAATGCCATCAAAGCCAGAATTGAAAAGTCGACAACAGATCCCAAATGTAGACTCTGCAAGGAAGCAGATGAAACAATAGATCACATCCTCAACTGCTGCAAGAAGATCGTGCAGACAGACTACAAGCAGAGGCATAACACTGTTGCTCAGATGACTCATTGGAACTTGTGCCACAAATATCATCTACCTACAACAAAGAACTGGTGGGATCACAATCCGGAAAGAGTTACAGAGAATGAACATGCCAAACTCCTCTGGGACTTCCGGATTCAGAGAGACAGAGTTTTGGAGCAGAATACTCCTGACCTCACGATCGTGTTAAAAAACAAAGTATGGATTGTCAATGTTGCAATCCCAGGTTACAGCAGGATTGAAGAGAAACAACTGGAAAAGCTGACACAATATGAGGACGTAAAGATCGAACTGCAAAGACTCTGGCACAAACCAGTCAAGGTGGTCCCAGTGGTGATTGGCACACTGGGTGCAGTGCCTAAAGACCTTGGCCTGCACTTAAACACAATAGGTGCTGACAAGATTACCATCTGCCAGCTGCAAAAGGCCACCCTACTGGGATCTGCACGCATTATTCGGCGATACATCACACAGTCCTAGACACTTGGGAAGTGTCCGACGTGTGATCCAATACAACAGGCAGCAGAGTGTCTGCTGTGGACTCATCTTGTGGTTTTTCAAATAATAATAATAATAATAATAATAATAATAATAATAATAATAGACATGGGGAGGCTCACAACATGAATAAATGCAATCAAATACATAAACATAAAATAAGCAGATAATAAAACATCAAATCAATAAAAAACAAACAAGATAAGCCAAAACACAAGTAAACAAAATTAACAGTAACCATTATAAAAAAATTAGTTAACACACAGTTATTCCTATGAGTTGAAAGGGGTCTACTACTCGAGTTGGGGAATATCCATGTAAACAGAGGCAACACAGAATATGGTTAGAGATTACAGGAGGTGTAGACCTACAACAACTGGAGAGTTTAAAAAACTCTTTACTCATCCTTTTCACATTGTCCATCACACAACACATTATTACACTGAAAGATTCTCACAAGGAACAGTGAGAAAGGGAAAAAATAGGAGGCTGGATTGGTGACTTACAATGGGACCCCAGAGACCCAGGACAATTGGTTTGGACAAGAGCTTGGAAGACTTCCTTTTTTTGAACCACAGCTCCCAGAATCCCCTCTATGGAGATACTGGGTGAGATATTCTGGGAGACTGAACAAAAACCCACTTTCAGACTTAGAATATATTACCTCTAGCAGAGTGGCCTTGGGAACCACCAAGAGCATATCGGTGCCTGCACCATCATCGCTTGCCTCCTCCAGCGTGACCAGCTCATCCATGGGCCGTGGCTCATTGAACTGGAAAGAGGAACTTTGGCCACGCACTTCCCCACGACGATCCACATAGCGGAACTGGTACTGCTGGGGACCTGGTTTAGGCAGATAGCTTGCTGTAAAGAGGGCACAGAGGTTTGCAGTATTATTGTTTCAGTTTTTGAATAAACCAATGGGTACCTATCAAAATTCAAAAATGAGGTTCTTAATTTCAGTTGTCTCTCTCACTTCTTGTATAAAAGAAAAGCAGGATATATATATATGTATATGTATATGCATATGTATGTATGTATGAAATACTAATAGCTTAAAAATGATCTAAACAATCCAGAGGAACCAGATCCCATCTACTTTTTTGAAGCTGTTGGGGAATCTGAGCTGATAGGCTCAAAAATAACCCTCAGTCGGGGTGATTCCACCATAAATATACTGGAGTACCAGAAGTAAACATAATAACCAGCACAAACTTATGTGTGGTGAGCTGGGATAGGCTTCTATTCTTAGGATGGTTTAGAATGGCAGAGACAGAACTTTAGGTTCAAAAATATTTATTGAAGTAAAAGAAATACATTCTTGATAGAAAGGCCTTGGAGACTAAACTCATCTTCTAAAGAGGGTAAAAGGTAAAAAAAAGTCCATGCAGCTACATTTTGCCTAGAAAGAGGCAAAATGCATCCTTATTGTAAGGAAGAAAAGGCAGAAGTCAGAAAATGGTGGCGACCACATGGTCAATCCAGGGCAGTTTAAACTTAAAAAGGAAATTCCCTCACAGAATTCCATTACTACGTCATCAAAGGTTGAGGAGACAGTGGCTAGCAGTGAAGAGGAAAAACAAAGCCCTTTTGGGAAACATGCATAGGAATGGGGGGGGGGGTATCCCTCAGCTTACCCTTGTCTCTAGCCTAGCTACTCATTGAGGACTGGAAACTTGATGACACAAGAGAGTTGTGCAACCTAGGGATGAAACCTAAAWGAAGCTAAGTAGGATCAGCTCTGGCTGGTACTCAGAAAAAAACCCAACAGGTGCTGTGGGCTTTATTTTAAAGGAAAGAATGAGAAAAACCACCTTGTCTAAGAAAACCTTATAAAATGTATGGAGTTTCCATACATTGATAGGCGACTTTAATACATATACAGATAAGAAATACACGATAAACAATTAAATTAAATGGCTGGAATAACCATGAACATTTTGTGACAATTGCACAGCTTATGACAGTGGCTTTGTAGTAAACTATTTTCAGAAAGGAGAACAGCCAAATTTCACTTACTGCTAGCATTATATAAGAAATGAGTGTATATATCCGGCATTGCCTGGGTGTTGGGAGGGCCTGCTGCCCCCTTGCTTTCATCTCTTCCTTATCTTTCCCCCTCATTTATTTTCCTGCCCTCCTTTTTCTTTCTTCCTTTCTCCCTCTTTCCTGCCTTTTTCCCTTCTTTCCCCTTCCCTTTTCTTCCTTTTCCAGAGTTTACAATGTCCCCATGATAACATGGCTCTCTTTGTGTCTTCTTCCTCCCTCCCTCCCCCCGCTCATACACATCACCTTCCTTTCTCAGTGACATCAGAGGGTCACTTCACCTAGCAACAACCAATCCTTCACCCATCAACAGCCAATCCCTCACCTAGAACAGCCAACCCAGTGACACCCCAAAGGGCCATTTCACCTAGCAACAGCTTTTGCGGTACAGACAGACAGACATATTTTATATATGAGAGATGCATGTATGCACTTGTGTTGAGGCACAGAAACTGAAGGGTAAGCAAGACCAACTGGAGCAAAATCTAGCATATCCCTCAATCATTTCCACACCTATTTTAAAATCTCTAACTACTAGTCTGCCAAATCAAACAGAATGAATGCACTTACCTTGGAACTGGACACTACAATGAAGAAGAGCCCCTGCTGGCGTCCCACCATCTGGCACTGTGCACCACACAAAGGTATAATAGTCGCGCACAGAAGAGACCTCTGCCTAAAAAGGGGAATACAAAAAGAGAGTATTCCACACCTCTATAGCTCCCCTTTTGCGTGTTCCTGAGATCATCCCACACTCGGACATTGAGAACAGGAAGACAAGATGCTCGGGAGAAATTTTGGTGGCTTCACATCTTTCGTGGAATTCAGAGATAGAAGGAACTACAACCTGAAGTTGTATTCTCCATTCTTCCCACCTTAGGAATCTCCCATGCCATCTTATTATAGAGGTGTAGGTATGTTGATCTTCCAGATTTTTGGCTTACAACCTATCAGCTCACTTATATGGCTAATGGTAAGGGCTTATGGGACTTGTAATCCAAAACATCTGGGGGAGGGCAGTAAACAATCCTCACCCAGTCTATTGAACATGTAGACCTGATAAATAAATATCAATTATACAAACAGGACCCTTTCGCTATTAAGTACTGTCAACATTTCAAGGCATACAAATAGTTGGACGAAAAGATGTCATTTAAAAAAATAAATAAACAAACTGCATGCAGCAATATTAAAAAAAAACCCTCCAGAAATCATCTATACCAATGTCTCTGGAAACTCTGCACAATCATTGCTTTTCCCCAGATGTAATACCTTAAAGATCCCAATCCAATCTCTGGCTGATGGCTTCATGCCCGGTGGGAGGTTGTAATGACACTCCACTTTGGTATGAGGCACATAGCTGGGGGCCACATTCAGGAAAGTCACTGCAGGATTGGCCTGTACTTCTTCCATTTCTGTAGCTGGGTGGCTGTAACACAAATGAAGGTAGTTAGCAGAGGAAATAAGGGTGGGGAGCCTTGGCAGAAACTTTCTTAAAGACAGTAGCGCTGAAATTTTGCGGATACAACATTCTCAGATCTATCTGGTTTGGCTACATTTTAGAGGTGCCAGTGGAGAATGAGAGGCAGTATGATGTATTAGTATTAGTAGGATTTATCTTCCCTTTTCTTCTCTCCCAAAGGAGACCCAAAGTGGCCAACACAAAAATAATTCAATAGTAATTTGCTTGTTGAACCAAGGTACGAATCCCTATTTGGTCGTGAGAACCTACTGGGTGACTTTGGGGAAATCTCACTTTCTCAGCCCCAGAGCAAGGAATCTCTCCACACTAATCTTGCCAAGAAAACCCTATGAGGTTCATCTTAGGGTTACCATAAGTTAGAAACAACTTGAAGGCACACAACACACAATGCAAAATTAAACCCAGTATTGGGGCCTGATGCTAAAGGTGACGACCAGAATTTGAAAAGGACTATGGTAATGCTGAATGGACTTACGGATTTTAGAACTCGGTGAACGTTGGCCACTAGATTGGCTTTTTAGTTGTTATTGTATTAATTGATTGTTTTTAACTATTGTGGCTATTGCTGTTATGTATTTTATCTATTGAATTGTTGGCATCGAATTGTGCAGGTTGTAAGCCGCCCTGAGTCCCCCTTTGGGGGTTGAGAAGGGCGGGGTAGAAGTGCCCAAAATAAATAAATAAATAAATAAAAAGTCACAAAAATCCAGTAATTATACATCTGTGTTCATAGAAGCAAATGGCATCAACATTAGTAGGTCAACCCATCTGTCTCAGGTTTTAGTCTGAAGTTTAAAATGAGCTATCAAAAGGGTTAACCCATTATAGGGATGGGGTTCACCACCTTAAATAGCTCCCCCAGTAGAGTCCTCCTTCCACTAAGACTGGAGGGAATAGATTCTTCTGTCTGCACAATCCTCATACATGACTTACAACCCCCGTTACACCAGCTCCACTGGCTGCCGATTAGCTTCCGAGCACAATTCAAAGTGCTGGTTTTGACCTACAAAGCCCTAAACGACTCTGGCCCTGTTTACCTGTCCKAAYGGATTCTCCCCTAYGAACCATCRAGGTYTTTAAGATCTTCCGGGGKGKGGGSSCTSCTCTCGATCCCACCACTGTCACARKCRCGGTTGGTGGGGAYGAGAGACAGGGCCTTCTMGATGGTGGCTCCCCGGCTTTGGAACTCCCTCCCACAGGAGATTAGAACTGCCCCCTCCCTCCTGACGTTCAGGAAGCTAACAAAGACTTGGCTATGGAATGCGGCTTTTGACAACTGAGTCAACTTTGGTTCATATGGAAGGAGAATGAATAACTGTGAATTATGACCRAGAATGCTTTGACGATGTGGCTATATGACTGTGATGATGACGATGTTGCATTGTAATATGTTTTTAACTGTGTAATGATGATGCATTCTGTGGTTTGTATTTTTGTATATGAACACATGTTGTGAACCGGATCTGAGTCCCTCTTGTAGGTGAGAAGATCGGTATATAAAAATTTTAAATAAATAAATAAAATTCAGTTGTTCCTCTACATTTGTTGCTTTGACTTTTTCAGATTTGATATTTCATTTGTTTTTATTTTTAAAATGTTTTCTCTAGGAATCTCCTCCAGTGTGACTCTTCTTCCAGTAATGCTGGAGAACTAGAGATATCTAGAGAGATAGGAATAAGCAATGGGCAGGGATGCTATTTGCACAGAGGGACACAGATGGAGGTCATGAAGAAAGGATACAGGACACAGAAGTCGCACCCCGCCTAGTCTTCCATAGATTCTATTTCCCTGGCCATGAGAACCAGTTAATTATTAATTGGCACAATAATTTATTTATGCAATACCAACCGTTTGCATGGTATATTGTGGGGTATCACCATTTTTTTTAAAAAACCAAGCCTCTGTCCCAAGGCTGACCTTGGAAATAATTTATTAGAAATAATATGATGCATTTTAATTTGTTTTCATATATAGGAAAAAGGTTGGCTTAACAGGGCAAAAGTCTATAACATAACAATAAAGGGTGGGGGTCTACCCAGGGAGCCTCAAACTGGGCAATCTTCCCTGTATAGTAAAGGACTATTTGGGATGCTACTTTCCGTGTAAAATGTAAAACAGGACTGAAAGGATATTTGAAGCATTTCTTTTCCAGCTACTGGTTATATTTTTTTAAAAGTTCATTGCCATGTTTAGAAATAACTGCATCTTGTATTTTGGGCCTCCCCAATGAATGATGTTATTAAATAGTATTTTCAGAGTATTAAAAAAAACCTCTGCATCTGTTTAGTATAAAATAAAATGCTGTTCTTTACATAATTTATACACACACAGCTCGAATAGTATATGCTAGATAATGGAAAACCCCAGAGAAACCTCCTTTAGAAGAATGGGAAAAATATATTATAGATATCCTGATAATGGACAAAATAACTGTATTATTAAGAGGAGAACTATTAGATAACTTTGTTAATGAATGGCAACCAATGATTCAACATCTTAATGTAAAATTAAACTAAAAATGTATATAGAGGATCCTGTAAGATTGTAGACAAGGAAGAAGCGGACGTAAAGTAAGAGTCTCTGATATCTTTATATGTATTATTTAGATAGTAGACTGTGACCCCTTAATGGAAATATATTATCAGATAAATGATTATAGAAAATTAATAGATAGAAAGTATTGTACTGTATGCAACAAACACTTGCAAATGTATGTCTACTTAAATGAAATAAAAATAATTGAAAAAAGAAGAATATTTTTGAATTAAAAGAATGTTTTTTGCAAGGGTAGCACACTTATGGAAATAATAATAATAATAATAATAATAATAATAATAAATCCCACCTTCATCTCCGCAAAGGAACTCAGGGTGGCTTACACATGGCACAAAGTGCCAAAAACAAATGATAAAATAAGTACATAGTACAGTACAATAGAATAAAAGATATATATAAGAACAACAATTTAAAACTCAAAACAACGCCCAGTGAACAATGCCCAGTGACCCTGAAAACATGGCCAGAATGTAAACAATAACACAGGGGAATGGGATAGTGCAAATTGTATATAAGGAACAAGGACATGGGATGAAGTGCAGTGCTATGTCATTAATTGAGGACCACTGGGACTAGACGTTCTCAAAGGCTTGTTTAAACATCCAAATCTTCAAATGTTTACGAAAGGAGGACAGTGTAGGGTCCTGTCTAATCTCACTGGGGATGGTGTTCCAAAGCCAGGGGGCCACCACCAAGAAGGCCTTTTCCCTCGTTCCCACCAACCATGCTTGTGACGGTGGCGGAAGCAAGAGTAGGGCCTCCCCGGCAAATCTTAAGAGTCTGCACTGGTTCATAGGGGAAGATGTGGTCACAAAGATAGGCAGGGTCCGAACCCTTTAGGGCTTTGGAGGTCATAACCTGCAGCTTGAATTGGGACCAGAAACTTACCAGCAGCCAGTGGAGCTGCTTTAATAGGGACATTGTGCGCTCCCTATAATCAGCTCCAGATGCCTGGCTGACATCCTTTGTACCAATTGCAGTTTCCAGGCCGTTTTCAAAGGCAGCCTCACGTAGAATACATTGCAATAATTCAATCTGGATGTAACCAAGGCGTGGACCACCGTGGCAAAGTCAGGCTTCTTGAGGTACAGTCGCAGCTGGCACACAAAGCTTTAACTGTGCAAAGGCTCTCCCAGCCACCACTAACATCTGAGCATCAAGTGTCAGTGTTGAGTCCAGGAGGACCCCCAGACTATGGACCTGTGTCCTCAGGGGGAGTGTAACCCTGTCAAGCACAGGTAGCCACCCTATATCACGATCAGCCTCATGACTGCCCAGGAGGACCTCTATCATGTCTGGATTGAGCTTTGGTTTGTTATGTCGACTTAGAAGCAATTCCTATACAGCAAACAAGGCGGTAAACAGAAAGCTTCCCTGATGAATGGCACTGCAGACTACTTCAACCAGAGAACTCTGGTTTAAAATTTAAAAACTTGGCTGTTCCGTTGTGCCTTCTCAGATTAGGAATCCCCACCCCAAGTCCAAATAGCACCTTAGCATAAGAAATCGTTACTGCACACCGCACTTGAAATCCTACGTGCCTCCTGCCATTTCAGCACTTTTAATCCCTTGTACCCAGTGCGCCGGCCGAACCAGTTTTAATAATGTCTTGATGTACTGCTATTGTTGTTATTTTGCTATTGTTTGATTTGTTCTGCTTTTGTGATGTCTGTTTCTAGTATATTGTGTTTTGTGGCTTCGGCCTGTGTAAGCCGCATCGAGTCCTTCGGGAGATGCTAGCGGGGTACAAATAAAGTTAATAATAATAATAATAATAATAATAACTCTAAAATTAGAACAGCACAACAACAGAGAGGAAACAAATAAGGACATTAATCACCTCTCAACAAAAGATTGCTCCAGGCACTGCCAGGCCATTATATGCTAATCAAGGTGGTCAGTTGAAACATTCACACCTAGCTCCAGCAGACAAAGGTCCTTTGTCCTACCCTGGTCATTCCACAGATATATAAACCCTTTTTCATAGTTCCAACAGACCTCACTACCTCTGAGGATGCTTGCCATAGATGCAGGCAGAACGTCAGGAGAAAATGCCTCCAGAACATCGCCATATAGCCCGAAAAAACCTACAACAACCCAATTCCTACTGAGTTCGGTGAGATTTTCTTCCAGAGAAGTGGGTTCCAGCTTTTTGTTTTCACTGTGACCATTTTTTTAGACAACAATCCAGCAGAGCAATATTCAGATTTCTAAACTATCCCTTTCTTTTGCAAACCTTTTTGATTTTTCAGAAGCAGGAAATAGACCAAACTCAGCAGGGAAGAAAACAAGATCAATGTGAATGATAAGGAATGTGAAAAGATAGCCCTATTAGTTTGTTTTATGACAAAAGCATAAAGGAATTTAGTAGCACTTTTGTGGCCAACTGG